ATCATCCATTACCACAAACTGAACTTCAAATAGATAGTGATTTACAAAGTCGTTCTGCATTGGAAATTTTTACAGCCATATGTATTATATTTGCATTAGCTTTTATTCCGGCAAGTTTTCTTGTTTTTCTTATTGATGAACGTGTAACAACAGCGAAACATTTACAATTTGTTAGTGGTGTCAAAGGTAACAAGAAATATTCAATCGTAGATTAATTAAAACTGATATTGTTCAGCATATCATAGAACATGTCCGAAAATGAGTTCTGATAGAATTAGTCATATAGCATTGATCACCCGTCACATGCGCATTGAATCCAGTTATTGATGATAATCAGTTATTTTTAACTACTAATCTTATGAGTGAACAGGCTCGTTTGTTTCAAATATTTTCACAAACTTTTCTTATCGTCGAAAAATTTATCCCTGGTCCCACTCAGGATTGAGTCCAAAAATGAAATTCATGAATATTCTGTTTGTAATTGTTTACTCATCTACTATTTGCAATTTTACTATAGTTTTTTATAAGCTTAGAAATTAACTGCCACTGGCAAAATAACTTTTTGACGAAATTCATTTTCGACCCAACCTTCAGAGTGAAAGTAAAGATGAATTTTTCCATAAAAAAAATTGGGATGCTGATTCAGATTCTCACACTAATTTTCATCTATATCAGATTTCCTTATCGAAATCAACGGAATACCAACAACAAAAGAGTGGACAAAACTTAGCCAATGTTGTTTCTTCGATATTTTTATATCATGTTGTTCAAATTCGTGAGAAATGCTATTGAATCATAGAGCTAGAACATCTTGCATGATAGTTCAACATAGAAGAAATCGAATTTCTCGAGGGAGGTCAATTTCCATATGTATCAACTTTCGTCTTATTTGTTTTTTTTTGTCTAGGTATAACTTATTGGTGTGGAAATTTTCTTTGGGATTTAACAAATTATTGTGTATCAATAACAGTTTGTATGATTATATTTCTTATATTTGATATTGAAGCTTATGTATATAAAACAAATTTTCTTTGTCTTCTATTATTATTATTCCTGTATGGTTTTGCAATAATACCATTAATGTATCCAATAAATTATTTTTTTAAAACACCATCAACTGGTTTTGTATTTATATCATGTATTAATATATTTATTGGTTTAATAACAACAATATCAACATTTACATTAGAAAATTTTAATGATGATATAGATCTTAAACGTGTTAATAATATTTTAATGAAATTATTTCTTATTTTTCCACATTATTGTCTTGGCCGAGGTTTATTTGATATGAGTAGAACACATGCAATTAATGTATTTAGTCTTAAATATGGTTTGTTTATTTATATTTATATTTAAAAGAAATATCTACTATATAGATGTTTTTCAGTTCCTGATTATGTTCCAGTATCACCATTTCAAATGAATATTGTTGGTCGAAATTTATTATCATTATTTTTTCAAGGTATTATCTTTTTTCTGCTTGCTATTCTCGCTCAATATCGATTTTTTATACCTGATCGGTAAATATTAAAAAAAAAAAAAAAACAAATTTCGTTTTAAATCTATTGCTTTTTTTTGCTCGCTATACTAGTGGTTGTGTTCGTACACCAAAAAATTTAAAATCACTTAATGAAGATGATGATGTTGCTGCTGAACGAGAAAGAATTTATTCAGATCCTAATAATACAAGTCATGATGTTTTACGAATGGTTGATTTAGTAAAAGTAAACAATAGAAAATAAAAAATCTAAGAAAAATTTCAATGATTCAATTTACTTTTTTTTTTTCGGTGTAATAGATTTATGGATGGGCATTTGGTAAAAATTTTACAGCTGTTAAACAAACATGTGTTGGTGTTAAACAAGGTGAATGCTTTGGTTTATTAGGTATAAATGGTTCAGGAAAATCAACAACATTTAAAATGCTTACTGGAGAAATTTCAATGACAGATGGAAATGCATATGTTAATAATTATAGTGTTATTAAACAATTAGATGATGTTCGACAAAATATTGGGTTATATTGATTTATTTTTTATTTGAAATTTTATTTATGAAAATTTTTATTTTTAGTTATTGTCCACAATTTGATGCACTTGATTCGTTATTAACAGCACGTGAACATCTGTATTTTTATGCTCGATTATGTGGAATTAAACAAAAGAATATACCATTTGTAAATTTGGAGTTTCTTTTTTGTGTTCTCGAAAAACATAATTATAATATTTTATAGATTGCTGATTGCTTATTAAAACGACTCGGTCTTACGCTTTGGGCTGATCGACCAGTAAAGCAATATTCAGGTGGAAATAAGCGGAAACTATCAACAGCTATTTCACTTATTGGAAATCCATTAATTATATTTATGGATGTAAGTTTCATTTCAAATTCTGCGATAATAATTAGATTCTTTAAGTTACTTTAGATTTTCCTTTATCATTATGTTTAAAATTAGTGATACGAAAGACCAAAAATTTTAGTCTGTATTTTGCTTGCTTCATTGAAATACAGAAGAGTATAAATGGAGAGTTCTGCCTACATACGGACAATAAGGTTCCGCCGGAACCCAAACCAGGCTTAATACTTTTTCATTCGAAATAATGCTCTTTATGGTTATATAAAACTTGCATTGAATAATCATATTGTCATGACTCATGTGTTCTCTAATAGATGTGAGAAAAATGGTCCCGACTCGGTGAAACCGAAACCAAATTTTTCTTTTGACTGGAACCAGAACAAAAAATAATTGGTTCTGTCTATGCCTAGCGTAGCTTCTTAAAAGAAATACTTTTTAAATAAACATTCTTCTATTTAAATAAGTTTTTAGCTATTTTATAATTTTTTATATTCATTTTTCTCATTATCGTAGCTATTTAAATCATTCTCATAGATATGTAAATCTCCATAGCTATTAAATTATCCAGCTATTTTGAAAAATCGCTATAATATTTTTTTTCTAATGCTAGCTTTCAATAGCTCATAACATGATGAAGACTAATAAACCAAATGTTGTTGCAAAGTAAGTAGCTACTGTAATTATTGACACTTACATTCAATGTCATAACTTCTCCGTACTTGCTCGAGAACGGTTAGTCACTTTAAATACATAACCAACATTTATTTGAATAGCTACGAAGATTTATTAACTAGCGCTCCATATCTTGAAAGTGTTAAAAGTATCTCTTTTGAGAGTGATTCATGTCTAGTTCTATCACAGAGTAAAAAAAAAAGCTCTTTATTTGATATCACAGAATAGCTCATAACCACTGATCGGCATTAAATAGATACTATGTTAAAATAAATGACAAGTTTAATAATATTTAGGAGCCAACAACAGGAATGGATGTACGTGCTAAACGATTTCTATGGAATTGTATATTAAAATTAACACGTCAAGATAAAAAGTCAGTTGTTATAACATCACATTCAATGGAAGAATGTGAAACATTATGCAATCGTAAGAAATATTTTACAAAACAAAGAGTTTTTGTTTTATTGGTATAAATTTTTTTCTTTATCTAGGACTTGTTATTATGGTTAATGGAGAATTTAAGTGTCTTGGCGGTGTACAGCATTTAAAGGAAAAGTAAATGAAATTCTTCATTTTTCTTCTTCATAAATTTCATTGTTTAGATTTGGTGATGGTTATACAATACTTATTCGAACAAATATTGATACGAATAGAAAAATTGTTATTAATTATATTCAAAAATATATACCAGAAGCTATTATTAAAGAAGAACACAATAAAATGATACATTTTCGTGTATCAACAAATGTTTCATTACATAAAATGTTTAGTATATTAGAAAAAGCACGAGATGAGTTAAAAAATCTTATTGAAGATTATACTGTTACACAAGTAACACTTGATGATGTATTTGTTAATTTTGCTAAAATTCAAGAAGGCAATCAAATATTAAACGAAACAAATGGACAAGGAAATTCATACGAATTAACTCATAGAAAAACAAATATTGTTGGTAAGTTTAGTAAATATGGCCAAGATGCTCCCGAAAAACAAAAACGATTGTTCCCACTCATGCTAACTGTTATCATTTTCATAGCAAAATTAATCTTATTTTGTTTCCGTAAAAAACACGCTTGTTGAACACACAAACATGCAGAATAGATGAAATATTAGTGAATTGAAGAAAGATAATGAAACGCAAAGTAGGAGGATATTAGAGATCAAGTGGATCATAGAAGATTTTTGAACCTCATTAAAAGTACTAGAAAACCATATTAAAATTTTTACTGTTACATGTATTACTGAGTGCAAAACCAGAACCAAAAATTTTTTCTCACCGAAACTGAAAACGACCGATCTCGTTCATCATGAAATATAAAACATTATTGATTATTAATAATCTTTTTTAGATCCAATATGAATTTAACTGTAACATGTTGACTTGACGCAAACAATCTCTTTATGTGTAATTATAACAATCGGATATTTTCTTTGTAACATTAAACATTTCAAATCTCTTATTTAAAGTTTTGTCATTTATTGTTTTTCTCATTTGCTTTCGTTTGTAATTAAAAATTGCAAAAAAAAACAGTCATTCTTTCAATATTATTTTTCTTTTTTTAGTCTCTCTATATTTGTTTTGTATGAATATGCTTATTGAAATATAAACTATTTTAAGAGGAGCGTTCAACGAATGAGAAATAGAAACCAAACGCAGTATCCATAAGATGTTTTACTTTCACAATCATATTCACCAGGGAATTTCTGAACAAAAAAAAAATGAATCACTTTAGTGTTTTATGAATGGCGGAACTGTTAGGAAATTAAAGCTTGATTTTCATTTTTCCGAATAATCATCATAGCTCCGTTGAGAGTTTCTCAATTGTTGAACATTGCTGTATTTCAAAAAATGAAAGAAAAAACAAATGTAAATAAATATTTTCAATTTTTTATTGTTTCATTTTTGATAACATGTATGATAATGAGCAAATATATTTTGAATTATTTGTTTAATGAATTAACAAATATCATGTTTGTTGATTTTTTATTTGTTTTTTTTTTGTTAAATCTTGTATTGATCGTTTTCGACCACTGAGTAATGGACTCATACAACAGAATCGACCTAACGAAAATATTTAAAATAAAAAAAAATGTTGAGTTAATTTAAAAAAAGAAATAAATCTTACGTTCAAATCTTGGTTTTGCGAGTGATTGTAAATCATTATCACCAAATAATGATTTTTCTTCAAGATACAAAAAAAGAAAACAAGGTCAATCAAAATAACGAATAGCGTTCTTTTCTTTCTACCTGGATATATAGAGTTTTTATGTGCCAATTGTCGTATAACTGCTCGTCTTGCATCGTCCAGTTCGTTCTATATAATAATATATATATATATTAAAAAAAAAAGAAAATATTTATTTTTTGTTGCATTTATTTAATGTTCTCACTCTTGGTCAGAAACCTATCATAGGGATCTTTCTAGCAGTTCGCAAGAACTCACCAATTGTTGACATTAGAGTAGACTTCTTGAAAGTAGATAGGAGTTTATAGTAACTTAGATTCTTAACAATTGAGTATTAGTTGTTGTTAGTCAGAAAAATGGGTACGAACCCCGTAAAATCTTTCATTTACTTCTACAATAGATTGCTGTATACACCTTTTTTCTATATTCTCTTTCTTTTGGATCTCGCACGAGAACGGTATGCATGACAAGTCTCATGTATCTTTTTTTGCCTTTCATAAAATCTCTTAAGACGGAAACGATTATACATTTCTAGAAGTCAGTAATACGATTATATTCAGGCTGATTTGTAATGAAAATGAATATGCAATTATTATCTTTCGATTAGTCGAGGGAAAAGGAAACTTGTTTTTTTTGTTTTTACTTTGTACATTATCAGTATGTTAAAGACAAGCAAATTAATAGTCTCGAGAGAAGTTACCTACCTCATTTATATCATGATACATAGGTCGAAACGAATTAACGATAAAGAATTGATTGACAAGAAGAATAAATAAAAATACATAAATAGTTGTTATAGATGAATCGTAGGTTCGTTTTCCAATACCAAACATGATGATAATATATTTGTTCTTTTTTATATAATATAATATGGGCGTTTGATGTATGTGTATATGGGAAAAAAATTTTCAAATGGTCTTATATTTATGAATGCACTCGGATAGAATAAAGATGAACGAAATAATCATAAGGATAATCTATTCTACAAGTCGAGAAAAAAAATGAGAGAACATGAAAAGAGATAAGCCTTTTATTGATTAGAACATTGGGAAATACGGTGAGAAGAAGAGAAAAGAATAGAATGAGAGATCGAGAAAAAAAAGTATGAGAAAGGCAAAAGAAAAAAGAAATTAATAGAATGATGTCAACTTCGTTCTTCTCTTAGGTCAAAAAACTAAATTTAAAAAACTGAAATAATTGAATATTTCGAGCAAGACAAATCTAAATGACACAAAAAGTATAGCATTATTTTAAAGATTAGAATAGTTGTAATATATCAAAGTAAAACTCATTATACTGAGTACGTCTTTATCGAAAGAACATGAAACATCTTATTTGTATGAAAATCAAATATAAAAAATAATAATTATTTTGGAGAAAAGATTTCTGTATAGATTTCATTTAAAAATGCATGAATGTCAATCATATACTTTAATGAACTAGTTACACTTATTTACGCATATTAAATGAATCCTGATATGAATCTATAGTATTAATATTTAATATTCTTTTCTTTTGCTTTTCATTTTATGCGCCATTTTTTACTTTGTTCAAACAACGATTCATGGTAAGTGAAATGAGTATTTCGTACGAAAGTGAAGATGATTAAACTAATTTGACAAGTAGAACATGTCAACTTGTTCACATGATAAATAAATATATTTAATTAAAAATATTTTCAAAAGTTACTCTTTGTCTATCATATTTCGATTGAGATAATAAATTTAAATGACGACAGAATGTCATCTTTATCAGTTTTTATTGAGTATTACCACTATATTTCATCAAGGTCACATGATTGTAATCATGCAACAAAATATAAGTGTGATTTGAAATTTCTTCCTTTTTTTTTCTACAAACTATGATTTGCAAATGAATAATAATCAGATAGACATTGATATCGGCCTATATTTTCATTTAGAATCGAGCATTAAAGTTTTTTTTTTTTTATCGTATTTCTTGTAAAATATAATTATAGAGAAATAAATGATTTTAAAATTCATATTTTTTTATCTGATATCGTTATTTACAAGCAAGGATTAATAATGAAGATATGCAGCTTATTTAAGGTCTCCCATCCTTCAAGAAAATGAAAATTAAGATAAATACATGGGAAGATAGTCTGAGTTCTGATCTTTCATAAACGAGATGATTTTTTATTTGGTACCTCGTTTTTTCCAAAAATTTCCGTTATTTTCTGCTTGAATAATATGCTTCTTTCAGAAAAACCGGAAAATCTTTTTTGATTGCATAACTCACAATCGTCCGTGGGCTTTCATTCTATATATTTAATTGTTTGCTTCTTTGAAAGAACATGTCAAGAGATACAGGGCATGTTAGAGTCTTTTTTTTTTTGAACAATTAGAGCGTCAGTTTTTGAGAGTTTTTCAAAGTATTGAACTAAAAATTTAACTGTATAGTATACAGATCAACACAAAATTTTCGATTGCCAAATGAACTATTTCTGAGCCTTGCCTGTGGAATATCTTCCGAAAAAGTCGTCGTATAGAACTACAAAAATACATTCAATTTGAATAAATCTGGCCCAAGATTGATTTTTGAGAGAGAGAGAGGGGCTCAATCTCTAGCTCTCAAACACTAGATACTCTTAAGAAAATTTGATCTTATGACATCCAGATTTTTAATATAGATTCATTTTGTCGATACACTTTTTACAAACAAAATGTGAAAAATTGATTTATTTATATATCGAGTGACAAAGAGAATTTTCCCGTCATCAAGTTTATGGAACACAAGAAATAGCTAAATCTATTCAGCCAAAATAATTTACCATAAACTCAAGATATTCTGACAGCTATGCATTGTTGTTGCATTATCCAATTTGTATCTTGATAAGTATTTGACACTTAATATTAATGTAAACGTTGTTTTATTCATTCTGAACCTTGCATAATTAGTGAGCAACTTAATATTGTCTGTCGAAAAAACTGTTGATATCACTTGCAACAGAAACCATAGAACAAGCTGTAATTATATATCAATAACATGATGATAATAATAATGAACTCAGATTTCTATGGGTGGCATTTTACTGGTAAATAGATAAATAAAATATTTACTATTTAATTTTGTAAAGTGAATATATAAATTTATTTTATTCGTTTCCGTTGCAATAAAAATGTATTATGAATTATCTGCACAGAAACAATATAGTCCGTACCTCTTTTTTGTATTCAAACGTACTTCCAGAAGAATTTGTTTTGGAAATAATGTGGAATCATTTATGTTATATTTGTAGTAGGCTATAACTAGTCAATCCAGTTTTAAAAACTTTGATTATTTTTCTATTATAGGTCTCTCATTCTCAACAATTTCGACAAAGCGCTTATTGATTAAGATTCTTCGAATTTGAAAACCTTTAGTAAAGTTTTATAAGACTCAACTGCTTTGTTGAGGTACCCTTCTGTTAACTGACAAAAAATCGAAATAGAACAGTTTACCCTAACTAACTTCAACCACTGGCCTTTAAAGCTCAATAAAATAAGTTCTAGCAGAAAAATTTTAACTTAATATTAAGGATCGATGAAAACAGAATGTGTGAAACAATTCCGTATAATTGTTAAAATTGTTTTAAACAATTGGAGTTCGGTATGAACATTCCTTCTTATAACATTAAGAAAAAGCTCAAGAAATGATTCGGAATCAGGATGTGGGTGAGGAAGAAAACTACGCGCAAATCCACATCAACACTCACACCCACAAGATATTAGCACCGGAAATTGCATGTTACGACTCAGTTCGGTGTTGCGACAATCATAGAAAACCCAAACAATAATTAGTTCCTGAACAGCTAACCTCATTCTGTGTGTATATTTATTTTTTCTAACTTTTGACTAAAAAAGTTTTAAAGAAAACCAAAACAGTTTTGAGGCTTTGGGAAGAGATTTTTAGAGTTTTAAAAATCCAGAAATACAGTAATGAATCTAAGATTTTTATAGTGAAGAGCGCTCCGCCGGAGAAAGGGATCAATCACAATATTAAATGTGTTTTGAAGGTCATTAGAGGTAGTATCAGCTCATTTGTATGCCTTTCATACTGGGAAGAACCGATAAAACTCTCTTGGAAAGGAGATGATTGTCTCTAGCCCTTCTTCTAGATCTACCGCTGCAGAAATAATGTTGAAATCAGTCTTTTGAGATTTTTCAGCTCGAAACTATGAAAACAAGGCATATTTTGATGCAAATATACAATTAAAATTCCAATTTCGCAAGAAACCTATTAATCCACGAAAGTCTTCTATTATGATGAACGCATAGTTACTTCAAGGAAGTTTTTCTATTACAGAGAAGAAATTACAATAATTTGCATGAAGATATGTTTCAAGCAGTAAAATTGTGAAGCATTTTAGATAATGAACGAAAAAATTTCATCATGACTCCAATGTTGACGATTTCGAAACATCTTTGATAGACACATTCGAAACAGTATGATGGTATGTATTGGGTCAACACTGATTCTGTCTATCAGCTACACGTACTAGTCAAAACAATCTAATGAATTCTCTGATTTGAAGTTCACACTAAAAACGAAAGTTGTTTTTTATCTAATATACCTCTACTTATCATTTTTTTCTGTTTATTACAATCATTTCCCTTTTCAAAAATATAAGTGAATTGCAGCTGTATTCGACTAATAACTATTGTCGTCGTTGATCGATTTGAACTCTTTTTTTTATTTATCACTGGTCTCTGAGCTTCCTACATTCACTGCATATTTCAGCTTTATAACTGATGTCACCGCTGCCTTATGAGGCGCACACTGTGAAAAAATCGTATTTGATAGAGAGATGCATTAAGAAAACGACATTTTCTGAGAATTGAAGGAAAAAAAACCGAATAGTCCGTCTTTTAAAGTTGAAAGTGTTCTCTGAACTCATATATCTTTTTTGTTGCTGCCTTTTTCTCTATTCCTCTGCGCATAAGTTGACGAGAGCAAGAGTGTGAACCGGACCACACTACCACACTCACATTATTTTTCACAGTTTGCTCCAAATAGTAGGAGAAACATGCTGATGTTCATTTAACCTACTGGCAGGCTGTGACAAAGATATCTATATGTCTTTAGTGGCCTAGCCAGTCTTCCGACATGCTAGATTTTGGTATTGGCATAGTCTGTCAGATAGATAATGAGATCTTCCTAAGCAGAAAAAGCGACAATTTCTGTATTTCACCGTACTCCAAGTAGCTCGTTTTATATAAGTCTGTTTGACGATAAAACTCCAAAACTTTACCGTACTTTACTGATACTCAAAGCTTGAAATACAATGAAGTATCTGGTCTTTAGAGTCAGACAAACTTATATACAGTGAACTCAAACTACGTAATATGCTCGTGACACATAAGTTGATAGTAGACTTGAAATAGCTAAGAAGCTGTGGAGGATAACTTTGACATGTCCTTGGAGTATGGTGAAGTATCGAATTTTCACTTTTACTCCCCTTGGATTTCCCACCATAGTTAGAGTAGTTCCAGCGCATTTAATATTTTAATCCGATATGGATTGTACTGAAAACTTTTCCTTCATTATCAGTTTCTATAAGTTTTCTCTCGTTAAACATATCGATGAAAGTAAAATTTCATAGGACTATAGATTCTTTATTAACTTTGTAGACTAATGAAATATTCGCTAGATACAGAAATTCTGTATCATGTATAGATGTATTCTGCGTCTCATCATAGGTTTACTTTGTTACCTCTTTTGTCTCTGCGAAAGATATTGGATGAGTAATATGAAATGTAAATAAATATGTAATAAATTACAATGACGAACATTACCTCTCCATTTTGTTTCGATAACATAATTTGATATCGAGGTGACTTGATAAAATATTTTACGTGTATTTTGATGAATATTTACTCAATAGAAATATTCTAATGTATGTTTCTGCGTAGAAATAATCATTCACATCAGTACAACTAGTTTGATATGCGAAGGGCAGGGGTGTGGGTGTGGGTGTGGGTGTGGGTGTGAACCTACTCCACAATAGCACCCACACCCACACTTCGACTTTCATTCTTCCGTCAATTCTAGCTCTCTGGTTTCTCTCACGGATGGACGAACAAGTGAACCTTATGAAAAACGGTTTCGGTAGTAGAAAAGCAATTTCGAACTTGTAAAATGCTATTTTTAGAGAAACTCAGAGATTTCTAGGTAATTAAATTGTTGTTTTCATGAGGGTAATTTTTTGTCCATCTCTGAAGGGGGGACCAGGGAGCAAAAATTGACGGAAAAATGAAAGTTATAGAAGCAGCTTGAAATGTATATGAATGGGCTCAGTTTTTTGTGCTGATTTCAAATATGACATTTTTTAAAAGTCAAACGAAATAATTTTTGCTCGAAAACCGTCAAATACTAGTCAAATTGGCTGTCAAGCATAGCAATGAAAGCAAAATTATTTCTTAAGACATCGAATTTCAAGTTGAAAATGGCGTCACCAAAAAGAGCACACTAAATTGCATGTCCAGTGAAAAAAACAAACTGATGCACCCGGAAAAATTATAACTTCGAAAGACTCGAAAGATCATCACTTGTGCCAAGATGACTCAATGGGGATGATGTTTGGCATTTATCGATAGAAAAAAATTCGAATGTCTAAGATGTTCTTATAGATTCTGACAGAGCATGAAATTCTCTACCAAATGAGCTTATTTTCGACTTGCTTACTTTGGGCTTTGATGGACTTTCAAGTGAAAAACTGTTTTTTACGGCTTCCAAAGAGTACTTCAGACCTTTCTTATTAGCCGAATACTTTTGAAAAATAATGTGATATTTGTGATCAGTACACATAGCGCTATCCAACTAGAAAGACTTCTGATGGAACGGCACAAAAAAACTTTTTTTCGAAACATGAAGGATACCCAGGGGTCAAAAAATTGAGTTGTAATTAAATACAAAAAAAAAAAAAACATGTGAAAAATCATCAGGGTTCAATGCTGATTATCGGGCTAATAAAATTAGGCTCATATTGTTTGGGATGATCAGTACGTAATTTGGCCGTCCTTTCATCCATTGGTTGAGCTGTGGTCCTCAAAGGATTAATTCAAAAACTCGTAAATCAAGCAAACAGTCTCATAGGCAATTCGAACGAAAATTGACAATTTCCTAGTTGTGGTCAGCGAAAATGATTTAATTTATTAAGTAGAGTTCGTATTGTTTGATTCTTCTGTTGACATTAATTCTTCGACTTCTCCACCTAACGGTGTAGGTGGGCGAGAAGGAGGTGCAGATAAAACCACAGGAGGAACCGCAGGAGGAGCTGCAGGAGGAGTTTTAAGTACATCATTGATCGGGCGAAGTCCGATGCGTTGACCGACCATGCGTTCAGGTAAACTTCGTAAATCGGCTCGACAATTTGGACATTCTTTCTTTTTGGTAAACCATTCTTTGAGACAATTATAATGAAATATGTGCCCACATTTCGTAACGCATGCTTTTGGCTCTGTATTCCATATTTCAAGGATCAAGTCGAGACAAATCGAACAACTCTCATAATAGATCGTCACCGGAATTTCTTTTTTCAATGCAGCAGTAAGCCGATAATGTTTGCTCAATTCATTAGATTTACCAAAAATCTTCTCAATGCAATAGCCGATGTATTGTGTGAAACGCGCCCAATATGTACGAAACCATGACTCTTCTAATGTTAACATATTGTCATCTGTGCTATCAATCTGTTGAAGAAGTTGTTCCATGAAATGTTGACGTCGTTTTGCTTGACTTTGATTGATTCGATTGCGTGTCTCGACATCAGAATCATCATCCTCAAACGTATCCATATCACCAAAGATGATTGAATGAGCTTTTTCAAGCATGGTTACAATTCGTGGAGAATCTCGATTAGCCTCGATACATTTAGCCCGATTAATATCTTTGAGCTTGCAATGTGTAAATACGATGGTACAACGAGCAAGAGCATTTTCGCCCAAAAGTTGCTCAAGCATTTCGACATAAATAAGAATATCTTGTGTTAATCGTTCAAAACGAAGCACTAAAAAAAGCCAATTGTAACCAATTGATGCGTAACAAACAAGTTCGCGAAAAAAGAGTAAGAATGATTCCGTATCCATCGTGAATCGTGCATCACCATAACCCACCGTGTCAACAAATACTTTTCTTTCATGTTGATCCACATAATTCGATATTGATGATGTTTTGCCTACCAGTCGATCGACTTCACCTACATCAGCAGGTTTCGACAACGATTCGAGATCGGTTTTACGATTATAACAGCAATTGACTATTTTCGACTTGCCTATAATAGTAAACTTCCCGTTTAATTATTGATAAACGATCATGAAAGAACTCACCCGCTCCAGTTGGTCCTACGAAAAGGAATCGTTTCAGCTTTTTAGATCGAATGGTGAGTGGTGGACTTGCCATGACTGAATCTCGTCTCACTGTATACTAGTCTTCCTCTTTATATTTTGATAAGTTTTCTTTACTAGCGTTTAAATAATTTCTGTTGGGTGGGAATTTACCATGTGTTTCGCTTTTGCATTTGTTGGAATATTACAAGTGACCTCACTATTTTTTTCCTTGTTCTACGCTGTATGAGTAATATCGATAGTGTCACGTCATCGTATGTTTTTTTTTCTTTTTTTCTTTTTTTCTTTCTTTTTTTTAATCTGTATTGACTTTCTTTGACAGAAGTGGTAGACACACATTGTTAAATATATTTATTCAGGTATAAGGTGGACGGGAGAGTGAAATAGAGACGAACAATTTACGCAGTGCAATTCAAACAACAATAAAAAGAAAAACTTTCATCATTGACTATATGGGTATGGAGAAGAGATATGACGATGAGTTCTTGCACACTATTATTGCAATCTAACCTTCAGGTTTACATGAAATTACATCTTGCATCAGAAGCAAAAGAAGAGAAATGATGTGCGCATATGAGCACATGTTGGTCGAGAAGATACAAGCGTGCATAACAGTTACCAAATTGGTTTTTTCCAACATTACTAATGCTTCTATTCTAACATTACTGTAGTACTTTTGCCTCAAATTCAGGTTGACAGAGGTTTTGTGGGTGTGGACGCACTTCTTCCTTTCAGCCACACCCACATTCCACATCCTAATTTAGTGCAACAGAGACGCCTTACATCATTGGCAAAATTGTTTGTTACTACTACGAGTGATTCTAATTTGATACTGAGTATCCGTAAACGAGGCAAATAGGGTTCTTTTCTTTATCGAACGCAAATTGTTCAGTATAGTCCACATGCGTTATCTTCAGATTGAGATTTATGCTTTTCTTTTTGTGATTGTTTATTGCATATGAATTTCTCTGTGTTCAATCAATTTTTAACTTACAATGAAACTCTTTGTAGTGTTACACAAGAAGATTGACCATGTTCGGGTCAAATTATTAATCTCACCGCCATATTAACAAATTTAGCATATATGACCTATTCCTAGTGAGCACAGACTAAAGTATTCAAATTTAAAGGCATTTCCAGTATATGTAATATGTCCGCAATCCGAAATTTCAGCAAAATTTATTAATTTTTTTCGTCATGGTTGGATAGACCTCGTCGAGTAACGTAAGACAAAGAACTTTTCAAATTAATACAAAAGATTCCACTGTTAGCAAAATAAGTAGTTTTATTGAATACTTTATATAACATTTAGTTTGCGCTATCAATCTCAGTGATACCTGTAAGAAAACATTAAAAACAAAGATCATCCTTTTTACTTTTCTTCAAAGTAATATAGATATATGTGGTTATTTCGTATGATTGACTTCAGACAATAATGCTTGTTAAGAAATATCTCGTACGACTACTTTTCAATAGCATTTTTATTGAAACAGAAAAAAATACTATCATGAAAACTATTGAAGATCATTGTTTTATGATTCAATGAATTTTCTCAAAAAAAAAATAGATGAAACATAGATGTTGTCTGTTTCAATAAAGTCACTTTAATAATGATGATATTGTTTAAAGATGAAATGACTATTTGATATTGTTTCTGAGACATTTTCCGATGACAATCGTATAGTATTACTATCAATGAGTCATTCTTAATAATAATAATACGTCGAAATCTCACTCTGGCATGTATTCTGTTTTACTCTTGCCCTTTAAACTATACCGTTACAGTATTTCTTTATTTATAACGCTGATAGTCAACGATCTATTGAAGACACTCTAATCTGTTAATGTTATCGTTAAAGTTAATAATAGTACATCAAAATTAAAGGCAAGCTTTTTTCTATAACTTAAGAAATACTGCTGGTGAAAATAAATTCTGTGTAATTTGGTTGATTTCCATCAATGATAACCGTAGAAGTCAATTAAAAAATGGCTTACTTATTCTATGCACGTATATCGTAAAACAGTTAAATTTACGTTTGAGAGAACGTTTTCAATTGATCAATCACTTTCTCATTAAAATCTACTAGATATCGGTTCTCCAGGCTAACATTTTCCAAAAATGAGTTTGAAATCACATAGTATCATGTAAGTCTTCACCACCGTCAAAAATCTATTTTCACTCCAGAACAAATGATTTAACTGAAAATTTCAACCCAAAATATTGAGTTCTTCCAGAATTATCCTTTTGTTAAGGATCAAAAAGTAGATACCCATGTGTCCTAGATTTCGACGCACATCTAATGGTACAAATCTCGGGTTGGCATCAAAATGTAGTCAACACTTGCTACTACAACTAACAGAGTTCAACTTTTCAAAATCTTCTTTATCAATTTTCAGCGTCAGTTATTTTTAAAAGCTCAAAAAAGAGACATACACCTGTAGAAAAAAATACAATTTTTCTCAAGAACTAAGTCAAAAATAAAAATTGGACTCTGTTAAATTGTGAAACATAGTTTTCTGTTGAATTAAAAACTCTTCCGAACTTCTTAGCATGTAAATGGTTGACAACTATCGGACGCAAAAGTAGAAAAAAAATTGTTCTGAAAAAAACGTCAAGCAAAGTTCATAATTGAATATCGATGTTACTGTTTAGTAAAATGGTAAACGAAACGAATCGATCGTAATCTATCACGTGTCGTCTACTCTGGTGGATCGAATGAAGACTGTTATATAGTAGTGGAGCGTCTAAAAATCTGAATCTAGAAGAGAAATGATTAGTAAATCCTGCGTAAAGCTATGAAAAAGCATTAGAATTCCGATATATAGTACTATTTACGAAAGTAGACAATAAGAACTATCCAACCACAGAAAATTCTTAAAATCGATTTTTGACAGGGGAAAGGGACTTAAAATAATTGTATTTTCTACAAAAAACGTTACGGTTGCCTGAGGAATTCGATATGTTTTATAATCTGGACAGATAAAAAAATCTTCCTCATAAAAAATTTGCTAGTCTGAAAGACTGTTTTTCTATAAAATAAGCTAATAAAGAGCTAAAGGGATTTTTATAGCCACATTCAGAGATTATTGTAAATATGAGTTTTTGTTAGATCCGAATATAAATGAGACATCACGATAGAATAGTAACGTGTGTTTTGTTTTCTTTTGGTAATTTTATTAAACAATATGCAATGCATGTTCGAAGTAACGATACCTAATTTAAAAATTCTTGTTGTTTTCGAGTATTTTGTTTATTTCAAAGTATTAATTTGTTTAAAATTCAACTGAATTCTGATGCCAACTGTGACATATCTAAGGATAGTACAAAATTAGAAAATGATCAACTATGATGTGAATTGTTAAATAGTTCTAAAAATAACTGATGACATGTTCTTGCGACTAAATTCATATAAAAACAAAATAGATAGATGATCTCTTGTTGATTAATAACAAATAGTCAATTAACACCACTGGAGACACGATAGACTTAGTAAAAACAACTAACTTTTGAGGAAGAAATATTTATGCTTTCAAAAATGATTTTTGTAAGTTAATCAGCTAAAAGTTTCGACTGCTTCTCTGTATCGATTTCTAGTTTGCGGTCAGAATTTGAATTCTGTACAGTACTTTTACGAAAAGCTCTCAAACACACTTTTTATCATTAATTTTCACGTCAGCTACTTATAAAATTCTTGTACTATTTGAATAAGAGAGTAAAATAAATGTTAGAAGAAAATGTTAAGAAAAATATTTTATTAATCGATAACCGAATAAAACAAGCTTGTTAGTAAGTAAAAAAACGTCTTTTCGGAAAAAATGAGAAATGCATATAAATGAACAGATTGATTATGTTTTAACGATTATTCTCACTATTGCTATGCATATTACAGATCAACTGACTGATAAAGATTCAATTGAATTAATAAATAAACATATTACTTTGACTTACTATTTGAAAATGGCTTGTTCCTTAGCAATTATACTATTTATATTTACTAGGATACTCTATGAATGTACAATTCACAAAAGTTACAGGCAATAAAGACCATAAAATACAATAGTCGATAGAAATCAGATTAAACAAAAGAATAGCATTGAGATAAAGAAGTTACAGTTTTGATTGAACTGTTACTATTCAGTTCTTAGTAACAAAAATCTCAGTGTAGAAATTTAATAAAAAAGAAAAATATCAAAGAAGAACATTTTTAAAATAAATTTTGAGTATAGATTGTGAAGAAAAAAAGAGTTTAATACATTTTAAGTATAGTTTTATTCACAGGCAAGACGTCAGACTTATTGATGGTAGAAAAAACGAAATTATAAAAATGGCTAGAGAGAACAAAATAAATTCAAAATCTTTTTTTTTCATTAGAACAAGACATTTATTGACAACGATATATTTTGCTAGAATGAAAACACCTTTAACAATTACAGAATCATTGATAGTAATACACTAAACATATTGAAGATAATTATAAGGAACAAAGAAACATTACTTTAAATAATTAGAAAAGAAGAACGGTGCAACAATATGAAACGAAAGATCTGAAAAAAATGCTTGCAATCTACTGTCTGAAACGACTCTCTGTTTCTTTGACCCCAAACTCCTCTTCATAGACGTTGTATTTCTCAAGGATTATGTAAAAGAACGAAGAAGAAATGCATCCCAAAATAGGTAAAATAAAACAATTTCTCTCTTTGATTAATAATAACTTCAGCGACATCGTGTTTAACATTTTAAT